GGGGGGTCGAGGACGCGCTCCCGAACGGATTTCTCCGGAGAGTGGGGAGAAGGGGGAAAGTGGTTGAGGGGTGGGCCCCGCAGGGGAGGATTCTGGAACATTCGAGCATAGGGGGGTTCGTGAGCCACTGCGGGTGGAGTTCCGTGATGGAGGCCTTGAAATTCGGGGTTCCGATCGTCGCGATGCCGATGCAGCTGGACCAGCCGTTGAACGCGAGGCTGGTGGTGGCGGCGGGGATAGGGGAGGAGGCGGTGAGGGACGGGGAGGGGAGAGTGGATAGACGGGAGGTGGCGAGGGCGGTGAGGAAGGTGGTGGCGGAGAAATCGGGGCAGCGGCTGCGGCGCCGGGCGAGGGAGTTCAGCGAGAAGATAATGAGCGAGAGGGGGGAGGAGGAGATCGACGAGGCGGTGGAGGAGTTGATGAAGCTTTGCCGGAGTAGGACGGCGGCGGGGCGGGAGTACGACTCGACGCAACTTTTCAATTACTGCACAAATGGATAGGTTTTGCGTCATGGTTTTTGGGATTCTGTTGTTATTCCTCTAGACTATTTCAGTCTGTTCCTATGTTTTTCTTTCTGCCATAAAAAATAAAATTGACTGTAAGATTTTGTACAGCATGGTTTGGTTTGGTGTTTGTTCAGTTTTACTCCGTAATTGGTTTGGTGTTTGTTCCGTTTTAATTTCTTGTAATCAACATCAACATTTTACCTTGATTTAAATAAAAATTACTCCCTACGTTCTAAAATTAATTTTTCATTTGATTTTTTATAGTCTCTAATGTGATATTTTGACAATTAATATCTCCATTTTTATATAAATATAGATTATAAAAATAATATATTTCAAAATTGTGTTTTAAAATTAATCTATTGATAATAAATTTATATGAAAATTCAATATATTTTTTCGTAATATACATTCAAAGTTCAAAAATTTGATTGCAAAAAGTCAAACTGAGAAATTAATTTTAGGAGGAGAAAGGATATGATATGGATTATATTAATTAAATAAAATAATGTTTTCAAAATATTTTTTTTAATATCTAATATTAATTTTATTTAATTAATGATAAAAATTATCAATTTTAACTTTAAAAATTAAGATTGGATAAAAATTGTCAATTATGTTCACATTAACACTTCTCTTTGTAGTCCTCCCTTGCCCCTTTTGAACCTTACTAGGTAATATTTTGATCATTAATATTTTTAGATAAATATATATCAAAAAAATATAATATTTCAAACTAATGCTTCAAAATGAATTTATTAATATTAAATTTATATAATTTAACAATTCAACATACCTTTTTTATAATTTATAATCAGATTTTATAAAATTAATTTTGATAGTCAAAGTGAATCCAAAGGACGAAGAGAGTACGTTTTACTGTTTTACTCCGTCTAAAAAACTCGTTTTCTTTTTGGTGTTTCAAAAAAAGCTTGTTTCCCTTTTTTTTTGAAAAATTTTGAGTGTCACAATTTTTATTTTCTTCTTCACAACACTTTCGACCCAACATTACTTTGTTTAATTTTTGTATAAAGTCAAACTAAGAGCATTATTTTAGAATAAAAGAAGTACTCCAATTTTTTATTTTTTGTCATTGAGTATTTGGTACATAAAAGAAATACTTCATCCTTTCCAAAATGAACTTATTTTCTTTTTGGAACATCTCAAGCCTCTTCTTTCTCTTTTTCTATATCACTTTCAAGTTTCAATCACACATTTTCAATTTCTTTAAACTTTAAGGCAAGTCAACTAAGAGCCTTGTTAGGAGGGAGAGTATCAATTTGTTACATAGTACATTTTATACACCACTTGTGTTTGAAAACCCTCTTTCTACCCCTCACCTAGGAGTTGATAACAAAAAAAAACAAAAGCAACTTCTATTTCTCCATACAAGTGTTGGGAGAGAAAAGGGTTCAATGTTCTACATAACAAAAAGTAGTGGGAAAATAAGTGGAAAAGAAATGCTACTTTAATCACAAGGTTGACACCAAAGACAATGGCACAGTCACTGTCTCCATTGTCATGGTGTAAGCATTAGTGTCATCTGTAGCAAAATCCTCAATGGGAAGGCCGGTGCAGAGCCTCGTTGTTGATGATTCTAGCTGTAAACCGGAGCGTTAACAAAATCATCAAGCTCTTTCTTGCTCTTAACCAAACACCTCAAACTCGTGTCATTGTCCACTTGGTCCAAATCCTCGACAATCCCCATGTAACCATACATTGTCGTCTCCTGATCAAGTTCTTCATGGTTCTTTTCCTGCTTTTCAGAAGCAGTTTGCTTATTAAAGCCTCCCCTTCCATGCCCCTTCTCAAGAAACCACCCATGGAGCTGAGCTTCTCTGCTTCTTTCAAGCCCGAAGCCGTGGCCAAGAATTTCACCACAACTACGCTCCCATTTTCAGGCTTCCCAAGGCAAATCTTTAGTTTACTCGCACTAAAACCTTCGCCTGTCAGTATATAATCGCAAGATAAAGACCGGAGGGCGTATCATTATTCAGTACAATCCTACTGGTGTGTATAGGAAAAGTTCCAGGATATCTTATTTGCACCAATGAGATCTAGTCTATAGTTTATGACTTATCGTTATTAGATGTATTTAATCCCATCAAAGTTCGAATTTTATATTTACCCTGAATCAAAGTAAGTATTATAGTAACTCCGTATTACACTGGACCTAAATCTTAATAATACTTAATCTGTGATACCATTCTAATATGTAAAGCATGGCTAAAGACAACCCAAAAAGGAAAGATGGTAAATTTTTAAAGGGGATAGGGGAATATGATTGGTCAACGAAAAGATGTTTTTTCTTTTGTTGTGAATTGTGATAGTACAGTAGTGACTTGATTTTGATAATGATAATGCCTGGTTTTGTACTTTTTGCCAATAATATACTTTAGGAAACTAACAACTAGGCACTAGATGTGAATAAGATCAGAATCATTCCCTAGTTTATTAAAGGCATTGTTAATTAGAAAGGGCAACTACCCTACATGTTGGCTATTATAAAAGGCCTAAAGCTATTCATAATACATGAAAAAATTGGTAGCAGATCAAGATCAAAGTATCAAACAATGCATTAACAATAGCAGATATCAAATGTTAAGTGCTAATGTGATATACTTACCCCTCAGACACTCCTCTACCCTTGTTATACTTGTGACTTGATGTTCTTGTGGACCAGAGCTCAATTTGGTACAGCTTTGAACAATAACAATGGGTGGCCATAGTATAAGGTCCTCTCTTTGTGCCAAAGCAGCAGAATGAGGAATCTGACGTGGCTGCCATGCCGCAAGTCCTGTAATGTTTGGACCCACAACGGCGTTCCATCCCATCAGGACACAAATTGCCGTGAGAAGACCCAAGTGTTTAGCTTTCAAGTCAACCTTTTGTGACATAAAGCAATGTGCCCCTAGGGCTTGAGTATCCTTGAATGTTCTTCATTGGTTAAATGAAAAAGTAATTTAGAATTATAGAATTTACACAAATCAAGAAAAATAGGAACTACGGGGTATATGTTACAAATTCTATATATGGATTATACAAATTACAATAATATAATGAAAGATGAGGTGAAAATGATATCTGCATGTGTGCATTTATGCGTATATGTGTAGGGTTAATCACTTTGCATTGTCTATTAGAAAACTAATTTGTCATTTTGGAAAGGCATAACTGGTCATCAAGACATAATCATTCATTATTTTTATGCATTAATTGTTTATTTAACTAAACTAATCATATTTAACTAAACTTATTTTTATGCATTAATTACATGAAAACTTAGTTTCGTTTAATATAAAATATGCTCTTTTCTTGGAACAATTTTGGGGAAGAAGGGAGTACTTTCTTGATCTTGTGAAATGTCTATACTGCTCGAAAGGTTGTGATATGAAATCAAATTGGAAAAAAATGCAAACTAATAGATCAACTGGGAAAATTAATTAGTAGTGTTAAGGAGTGCATACCTATTCCCACAAACAAGACATGAAAGGCTACCCGCCTTTCCTTGTTCCATGTACCTCTTACGAGTAGGCAGATCTTTATACAATGTTTTGGTGAAAGATAAGAAAAAATTATAAACCAGTTTATTAAACTTCATAGAATCCTCAGATTGTGCTATTTTTGCCGAACACACCAAGGCACCTTTTGACTCCTCAGTTTTCTTTTCGTGCACCTCCTCCACCTATTTATCGACATTTCCTCTTATCCAAACATTCTTAGGAATGGAAGTCGGATTCTGACCAACTTTCTGTCTTTTCCTTGGTTCATCTTGCTTGATAGGGGGTTCTTTTGGCCCCATTTCCTCAGATGCATGACAGACCTTTTTGCACTGCTCAAACTCATGATCCAATCTCTTAGGCAACAATATTTGACCATCATATTCATCCTTACCGCCATGAACTCCATCATTAGTAGCAGTCAATTTCCTTGACAAATCCCCACTAGAACCATGCATGTTCATATCTTCAACCAAACTACAACTCCTCTTCAATGACCTGCCAGATGCATCATTGTCACCATTATCACTTTCACGGTTCAATATTTCTCGCGGGACGCACATATTTGGCATCTCCATTTCACTGAAGTTCTGCTTCTTGGCATGAGCATTTCTGTTGTCCAGATAAATATCATCTGGATGTCCAATATAAGGCAATGTTCTATAAGGAGAGTTCAAAGCAAAATTCATCCCTGAATTACAATGATCAGAAACACTGTAGCCAATCGGATTAGCATGGTATATATCAAGCTTCTCATTATCTGTGTTCAAGACTCTAGATGGACTAACACCCAATTCAGGGAAAATCCTCCTCCTTTTTACCCACTTAGAGCTATAATCTTCTTTAGGCCTTGCTTGGGGGGACAAACGGTACGAATAGTCATGGCACTTTGTCCTTCTACAATTGCATCTATCTTCATAATTGAACTCTTCTCTGTTCTCACCTAGAAACACTCTTCCTCTCAATTCTACAGAGTTCAAACGATGAGTGCCAATCAGTTTATCCATATCATCTCGAAATGATAAACCACCACTTGTTATAAAACCCTTGGGCTTAGAATAAACCTCAATCCTTTCCCTCTTACCATACATCTCCATGCCTGTCAATCTGCCCAGCAGATTCGGGTCCGGGTGACCAATCCACCTCTGATGCGGCGAAGAAGCCAAACTCCTCCGACCATCCAAATCAAAATCCACTTCTGCTACTCCTCGGTCGGACATCTTGTCCTGCAACCTTTGTTTGTAAAATTCATGCTCAGAAGCCCTCAACAATCTCTCTGCCCCAACACTGTCATATTTACCAGCTCTAGATCCCCCGATTTCATGGTCACACCTAAAACTAGAGTTCTTAAAATCACAGAGCTCATATCCTACCCTATTAAGACTCGGAGTCCTAAAACAACATTGAGATTGATCTGCTTCTTCCATACCATGGCTATGCATCAAATAAGGGTCAGAGCTCAAATCAATCCCGCGCTCTCTGATCCAGGCAGCCATAGACCGTCCCGAGGCAATATCATCGTCCTCTTCGCGTGACATTTCCCTAACCCTTGTTAGACGGAACCCTAACCAGTAACCCTAGACATGTACGCGAGCAACTGATGAGCAAGTGAAGAGCGGTGACCTGTGCAAAGGAGGAGAGAATCCCGACGAGAAGTATGGAACTTATTCAGCCATTGATGGCGCGACATCTCAGCGTCTCATTGCTGTTTGAAATTCTGCAGGAGGGTTTTGGAACATCCAGAGAATTGCGCAGGGACGGGTCGGCTCCGTACTCTATCACTGCATGTTGTTCTTCGAGCCTTCGAAGTTCGTACCATAGAGCTATATATTGTGATTGGACCTGTGACGGCTCTTTCGGATGTAAGCTACTAGCCTAAGTTTGATTTTTTCGAATCAAATTGGATAAATTTTGAGTTTTAATTAGTTCCAATGTGTATCAGAGATTAGTATCATAAGATAAAATTTAGAAAGATCTCACGAAGATAAATATAATAAAATCAGTTTTATAATAATATACATTACAAACCGCTTAGTACATCATTTGGTTCGCGAACCTCCAATTCTGTCAAGTCAAATTCTTTTGGAGTTACAAACTTCTAGAACAAACATAATGGGAGCTATAAGGAACCTCATTGGCACTCTGCTTTCTTCACCAAGTTTGTTCCATACAAGCAGAGACTCGATTATCTAGATGATGGAAGAAATGGTTGTCGCACACCCTGCTGCTATTGTGGAGGATGCGATAGGATCTAAAGGGACTAAGCGCCTAACCATAAATCAGAGATGAAGTGGATTGTGGGTTTGAAGCCATGGATGAAGAGGGTATTATTTTTATGGAAGATGACGAGACACCCTACAAGCTAGATTACTTAACATCTCGTGTTGAAAGCGTTGCAAAGGATCGATATCTGGGCGAAAGCCATCAACTTGTAGCTTTATTGGTTAGTGTTTATGGTAGAGTAGTTAGTACTTGGCATTTATTATTTGATAGCTATTGTAATTTAGTTTTATTAGGTCCGGTAAACAAAATTATAAGTTCATTCAAGAGTTTTTTTTCAATTCTTTGCCTCAATGTATCTTTTGAATCAAGAGAGTTAGAGTTAAATTTCATAGTTTAGTTAGAATTAAGATTTCTCTCTCTATACTCCATAAATAGAGATGTACCCCTTAGGTTAACAAGCATGAATAACAAATCAAAAGTTTTCTTTCTCTTTGAGAATTCAAAAGCGCTTAAAGTTTGTATCTTTTTCATCCTCTTCTTTTTGAGAGCCTGAAGACGCTCAAAGTTCTTCTTTATCCACCCGGCGCCGAAGAAGTCTCAACATCTCTCTTTCTCGCACGAGAACACTTCAAAGAACTGATATCAACCAAATTACTTGGGTTAATGGCCATCTTTTAATATAATAAATATAATAATGTAGAATTATAGCCATGTCGTAACTATACTATTCATTCTTTCATTCAAGAAATATAGTTTTGAGGTGTACTTTAAACTATGAAAAGATATAATAAATTTATTCAAGAAGGCACTCAACCCATATTTTTATCGGCCCAAACATGCACCAGAGTAATATTGTTTCTTTTTCCTATTTTAGTTTCTTTATACTTCGTATTTATGCTAGGATCTTTCATCTTCTTCCTCTTTTCATTGGTGTAGAGAGAATGTCTCTAACTTTGTATTCTTGCAATGGGTATATATGTCACTCTAATTCACCAGCTACGTCACTTTTTTAAAATTAACATTTTTTTAATCTTGAAATCATTTTTTAAATCTATACTTCCCAAACAATCAATGATTTTGAATTACAATAATCTTTTTATTACTTTAAGAAATCTTTTTAATTCATTATTTGCATCAATTTTTTAATGCTATAGCAAAATGAATATTTTACTCTAAGATCATGGATTGTTGTGAATAAAGTGAACATCTTTTTACTTAGTTTATACTCCCTCCGTCCCATAAAGTGTTACCCATTTTGACTAAAGTTGAAATTAAGGGAGAGATAAATTTGTGTTGACTTTCCAAAAATACCCTTGATGTGATGGGTAAAAGTATGATGTGATGTGTAGATTATTAGGAAAAAGGTATGATGTGATAGATAGAGTTTGAAAAAGTAAGGGGTAAAAGTGGTTTTTAATAAAAATGGGTAAGAGATTGTGGGACACAATTTTTTTGAAATGTGTAAATCTTTTTGGGACGGAGGGAGTAGATATGAACTGAAACAGTTAGAACTATAATATGAAACAATAATTTTTTCTCATGTGAAAAAGTTAAAAAGATATTAACAATTAAAAAATTTTATATGACTGGGTGACTCTTAGGTTCTCTTAATACGGTCATAGAAATTAGAAGAGATATTTATGATGTAGCTCCAATTTCATATCTTCAATGACACAGTGCTCAACTAAAGAATTTTAGTTCTTTTTTTCATTGGCAATGATTTTTGTCCCCATTTATTCAATATCTTCCCCCCTCATACACATTTTAAGGTACCTACATCCATTTTTACTTGTCATAAGAAACATTGCAACTTCAGCAAGTTAATATCTTATTATTGTCACTAAAGACTATTTTCTTTGTCACCATTATAGATAGTTTCATCATCATTGATGGTGCCAATGATTTGGTGGTATAATTTATGATTAAAATTTATCCATTTTAACTATAGACAATATTTTATTATTTTGAGATGTAGATGACATTCTCAAGTTTATCAACACAATTGAAATTTCAATGCACAGAGACCTACCGAGTATTTAATTAATTTAGTATTTTTTGTATGCATGTGCACCGTACCTCACAAAGATAAAAATTTCAATATATTTTATTTTGTTTTTTGGTTCTCTATCTTTGTAAAGATAGCTCAACATGTTCGAGAATATACTCTTTTAATTACATTCAAACTTTCACCAAACTACATATATTTTGTGTATGGAGTAGATCAACTACACCATATAAGGAATCTTAATATATGGTTGCTGTGTTTGATGGGTGGGGGGATTCCACTGGATTTGGACCTGAAGGTACCTGCCTTTTTATGCTCCCCTCCTCTACCCAATGTAGAATCTCTGTATTGGTAGAGTCCTGTCGTCTAGAGAGGTCTGATAATGTTTTTGATGAGTCAGGAGACCCAATTGGATTTGGGCCTGGAGGCACCAGTCTTTTCTTACCTCCTTCGTCCACCCACTGTGAAATTTTTGTATCAATATCTAATGGGTCAGGAGACCCAATTGGGTCTGGGCCTGAAGGCACCAGTCTTTTCATGCCTCCCTCGTGCACCCACTGTGGAATCTCTGTATCAATTTATGATGGGTTAGGAGACCCAATGGGGTCTGGGCCTGAAGGCACCAGTCTTTTCATGCCTCCCTCGTCCACCCATTGTGAAATTTCTGTATCAATTTTTGATGGGTTAGGAGACCCAATTGGGTTGGGCCTGAAGGCACCAGTCTTTTCATGCCTCCCTCGTGCACCCCGACTGTGAGATCTCTATATCGACTTTTGATGGGTTAGGAGACCCAATTGGGTCTGGGCCTGAAGGCACGAGTCTCTTCATGCTTCCCTTTTCCACCCAATGTGGAATCTCTGTATTGATCGAGGCTTGTAGATTGAAGAGACCAGACAAAATCTTTGATGAAATAGGTGGCTCAATTGGATCCGGACCTTTAGGTACTAGCCTTTTCACATCTCCCTTCATGAGCAATTCAGGGTAGTGAATGATGTGGCGTAAACTACCCTTCATTGATCTTTGAGGCTGATCTTTATTTGTAGATTCTGCTGAAACTATTAAGAGAATGAGTGAGAATATGAAGATATGAAATTCATATTCAAACTTTTTGTTTGAGACCCAAGAAGTAGATGTTTTCATGGTGGTGTGTTTTGGGAAATGCAATTGCAACTCTACTAATAAACGATTAGAGCAATCTCCTCTTATATATATCCCCTAGAATGTGTATTTGAATGAATATACAGATACATGCAACTCGTAATGCATAGTCTTAAATACTTTTGATAATTTGTTATTGAGAGTAAGTGAGTAAATGATTAGGATTTTCGAAAAGTGAGTAAATGATTAGGATTTTCGAAGGATCGCAATAAATCCCATCATATACGGAGTAATTTGTTCCTTGATTTGTATAACGGAAAATCATATGCAATGCAATTAGTAATTTAGTATAACGGAAAATCAATTATAAGATCATTAGATTGAAACGTTTGTGGCATTTAAAATATAGTGTGAAATGGGTTAGTCACTTAGTCCTATTTAAGTAGTGAGGAGTATAACTAGGATCGAAAATATAGGAAATTTAATTAAATCACTCAAATAGAATTAAAATATACGGAGTAATATTTATTTCAAGATAAGAATTCTGTGTTTTTATCACCAAAATAGGAGTTCACATTGTGACAATGTATAATGGTATCTCATTGAATTTTTTGATACTATATATTGATATTGTACTCTTATTTTAGAAATAAAAATATGAAAATCCTATTTTAGTATTTTTTCATGTTTTACTCTTAGTTTAGTCCTTCGAAATATAAGGGGTGGGATCCTCTATGGCTCTATACCAATTCCTCTATCCCATTCCTCTATCCCATAGTTGAGGCATGACCACATGTCCATTTTTATTTTCTCTTTTTTTTCTTTTTTTTTCTTTTGCTCCAATGCCCCCTAACCCAACCCCCTCTCCCTCTAACTCCTATTCAATTATAAATGCAAACAAATTTTAAAAAAACACATAAAATATATTCCAGTTTTATAGTCCAAATTGAATTAAAGCTTTGTTTCAAATAATGATAAATGAAATAAGAATAATATTTATGTTGAAAAATATTATAATTGCATAGTTAGAAATATAAAAATAAGCTTTCATTTCATTTGGAGTATAATTTTATTTTTTACATTTGTTTGTGTTAATATTTGAATACTATTTAATATTTACATTGAAAAACATTAATTAAGAAATAAAACATAAATTAACAAAGCTCTAATTTCATTTGGAGCAGAATACCTCACATGTATGAGCGGGAAAACCCAAGGCAAAATTTCCTTCATTATAAATGTAGTATATATTTGTATCATTCAAAAATGATCTTAATTTAATAACGTAAATATGACTCGTGCAATACACGGAAGTGACACTAGTCTTGATTAAAAAGGAAATGCTCATGGCAACCTATACATGACAAAGGGCCTGTTTGGGAATAGCGTTAGAGATTAGCGTTAGCGTTTTGGATAAAATTTTAACGGTGCAGATTACTTTGAAAACGCTAACGCTAAACGCTGTCCGTAGATAACCTTTTCAAAACGCTAACGCTAATCGCTAAAGCTATTCCCAAACAGGCCCAAAGACTTTTTTCGCAATCGATAGAGTTTATTTACTTTTGCTCCTGGGGTTTTAGCACGTAACGTGTATTATCTACGTTTCCGAATAACATCAATGGCCTATTAGCTCAGTTGGTTAGAGCGTCGTGCTAATAACGCGAAGGTCGCAGGTTCGAAACCTGCATGGGGCCATTCTTGATGATCTCCTTTTGTATCCAATTTATTCAGTTTTTGTATTTATAAACGTTTATGCATGAATGGGTACATGATCGCCCGTCTAGCTCAGTTGGTAGAGCGCAAGGCTCTTAACCTTGTGGTCGTGGGTTCGAGCCCCACGGTGGGCGTAATTGTTTCTCTTTGGCAAAAATCCATTTTTTTGCCTCCAAAATGTCTATACTTCATTTAGAATCGGAAATGAGTTTGGTCAATGTTCAAGTTATATCGGATTTAGATTAAAAAAATACTTGTTCATGATCAAGTATATCACGGGATAATGTATTTTCCTTTCTACTTTTAGCATTTGCACTCCTCTCCTTACACTTTCGGGCGTAAATTGACCACCGTATTGTAACTTTATTACTAATTATTTTGTGTCACCAAAATGTGTGTGCTTCAATTAGAGTTGAAAAATCGGCTAGTTAAGTTAGATTCGTGTTCGAGTTATATCATATTTGGATTAAGAAATACAATTTATGATCTAGTATTATCAGATTTAGGTCAATCCATCATAGGAAGTATATTCTTCAATTAGCCAATATAATAGTGGTCTTCTTGATGTTCATTATCAACTAAAGTGAATGTTAAACTTGAAATTTTTTCTTCATTATTCTTGTGGTTTTTGTAATGAATGAGAGTGCGATTATTAACATTATAAGTCATATCTTGGAATAGAAACAAAATAATCAAATTAGAGGTGGGCGCGGTCCGTGACGGCCCGTGATATCACCGAAACCTATCGCGGACGGTTCTTATTTAAACGGTTTGGTATCAGTACAGTATGAATCCTAAAACCATTCGGTACGATTCCGTTTTGAAACGGAACGGTACAATACCATAACCATGTTCAAACCGTGTCAAAAAATGAACATCCATCACTAAAAATACGAAGTATCAAAAGAAAAGCATAATTTTGTATACAAAAGCACAACTTTGTTAAATAGAAGTATTGATTTTGAATTTAAAAGCATCATAAATATAAAAAATAAAAGATGACGAGTTTAATTTTTAAAAATAGATTTTTTTTCAATTCATACAATATCAAACTATTAATAAGCGCTCAAAAAAAACTATTAATAACTTTAAATAAATAATGGTAATAGTAGTGATAAATATAATTTCAACAATATTAATGAAAGAATTTTAAAAATAAATAATACCATACAAAGTACTCCATATACGGTAAGATAAAGTAGACAAATAATTATTTGAGATACTCTTTATATATCTTTGAACGGTTTGGTCCGTGATAATCGATTTTAAATATTTGTATCACGGTCCCATCCCGTTTGATATCGGTTCGGTTTCGGTTCGTGAAGAAAAAACTCAATCCCGTTTAAAAACAGTATAAACGGTTTGATACCATTACGGTCCGGTATGGTACCATGCTGGTTCAGTTTTTTTGCCTACCATTAGATCAAATAACTATTCTATGTATATGTTCTCACACTAAATTTGAATTACATAAATCTTGTAAGGACTTTAGCTTTTTGTACTCCTCCCGAGTTCCGTCTCGACTAAAATCATATGTTTTGGTTTACAATATTTGACTGAAATTATTTTCAAGAAAATTTATTTGAGAATCGAGCTGAAACTAAAAACAAAAAAACAATATTAAAAATTATAAAAAGTAAGAGATTGAAATGACTATATTATTTTATCAAATAATTAACAAAAATATGTAAAATAATACGGAGTAATTAACAAAATAAGATAAAATTTGGGATTTAACGCACTAAACGCGCCACCTCAGTCCACACGGCGGAGTCGGCAACGACACCACCGGGAAGAGAGGCATAGAGAGAGAAGATGTATTGCTGGGTTCGAGCTTCTCCTTCTAATTCCAGCGGAGTTCCTCCGCAACCTCGTAGGTAAATACTCCCATGGCACCTGCATTTCTATTTTAATCTGTATCCGTTTAAGATTGCGTGTTCTTCGTTCTGAGATCTCTGAACTGTCGATTTTTGAAGTGGACACACCGCGGTGAACCTCAGACAATCAAAGGTGGTGATTTTTGGAGGGCTGGTAGATAAGACATTCCTCAGCGACATTACTGTTTATGACATTGGTACAATTGCATCACTATTGTGTACTCCCTATGTTTGTTTTCTTGTTTGTTCATGTCAGATTCTCAGCTACTTTAATTTAAATGGACTTTTCGTGGATCGTAACGACCAAGTTTGGGCGTTCAGTCGCCCACTTAATGACAATCCCTTGCAGAAACATATCATTTTCTGAAATTAAAATGCACAATCACACATTTCTTTGCTTTTTATCTAAGCATTTTATATCATCACACTTTTTTTTTCTACAATGAAGTTATACGAGACCCTACTTGTGGGGTTATGTGGGATTTGTTGATGTTGTTGAAAACTTGAAATACAGCCCGGACATGCGTGCTATCGATAGTGTATGTGTTTTGTCATCCATTTTGTCATATCATAAAAGAAGTTAATTTGTGCACCAATGTCGTCATTGATATGCCATTTTGTAGTTTAAAGTTTTTAGACTTTAGATCATCGATGCTCAAGGTTGAATTTTGCACCCATTGGACTTTTAAAAGGGTGAAATATAAGATTAATACGTGCTTTCGTCGTCCATAATTTCTTCTCCTTTTCAATAAATTAAAATCGAAGCCTCTGACCTCTCATCTGTTAATTTGGACATTATCTTTTGTGCCATTGGAGCCTTCAATAGCTGCTGTTTAATATTTAATGTACTTGATACTGTGGGATTCAAAGATTCTAACTTTCAAGAGAACACTTGGTTACTAGATGTATGGTTGGTTCCTAAAGGGTAGTATGTTTGCTAAAAGGTACTTAGAATAAGCCAGGTGAGCATTTTCATTGAAGTAGAAGTTGCATTGTGACTGTCTTTTCTCAATATTTTGTGTTTTTCATTGTAAAAAACTCTCTTTATGTCCTAAATTCTGGAGTTTTTTATGTTTCAGAGAACAAATTCTGGTTTCAGCCAGAGTGCTATGGCAGTGGCTCTGATGGCCGAGTAGGGCCTTGCCCACGAGCATTTCATGTTGCTATTGCAATTGACTGTCATATGTTCATTTTTGGTGGGAGGTCTGGAAGTAAAAGGTGTGTAGCTATTGGAAACCTTTATTGCTCTAGTGTTAACTAAAGGTTATCATTCTAGGTCATGTACTCATGTGAATGTCACTAATTGGTAAAGTGTTTCTTTACTTGCAGGCTAGGCGACTTTTGGGTCCTGGATACTGGTAAAGATGAAGTCTTATACAAATTTTCCTTTACTGCCATCTTGAGAAAAGAACCATGATGCTAAGTGGGTGGAATAAAAATGTATCGCCCATGGGATGCTATTTTGCTTAAATATCACATGCCTGAGTCATTTTTTATGTTTTATTTATATATTCTAGATATTTGGCAATGGTCCGAACTTACAAGTTTAGGTGACCTGCCTTCAGCAAGAGATTTTGCAGCTGCTTCATCCATTGGAAATAGTAAAATTGTTTTGTAAGTTTCAAAAATCCATTGTTTAATTGGGTTTTATTATTCTAAATGTCTTATTTAGCTTTAAATGGAGTACAGGTATGGTGGCTGGGATGGTAGAAAGTGGTTGTCTGATGTCTTTATTCTGGATACAAGTACTGCCTTTGTTAAAAAATATTGATTTTCTGTGTTTTTAATCTTCAAATCTAGAAAGTATTCTCTGTATAACAGATTGAATTATGTTTGTGTATCTGCAGTTTCTCTTGAATGGACAGAGTTGTCTATTTCAGGAGCTTTACCTCCACCAAGATGTGGCCATTCTGCTACTATGGTCGAGAAAAGGTTGCTTGTCTATGGTGGGAGAGGTAACATAAGATCTATAGGAATGGACCAATTCACAATTCATTCTTCTAGCCTGTATGTTTTGATTATTGTTGTAGCAAGGTGTAAATCCTGCTTTAAGTCTTATTTATTTTGTTGATTTGGAAATTTTAATTAGCACATACACATGTATGAATATATGCGAAAAATTATCAATAGCTTCTTTCACAGAGGGTGACTTACTCAGTAGTAGTTTCGTTTCCAAGTTTTCTTGGTGTAAGGAATTAGTTTTGGATTAGAGAATATCAAGATATTGTCGGTTTGGTGGGTTGAAATGGCCACCTTCTCCCAGTTAGTGGAAGGAAATATAAGAGAGTTAACGCAAATACACTATATATTGACAAGGTGCCTAAGAAATCGCCCTTCACCTCGTGGCTCATTCTGCACGGGGCCTTGCCTAGCAGAGGGTTGTTATGGTATTGAGGAATTATCAACTCTCCTTTATGTGAGAGTGTGACTTGCCAACCCCAATGGACCCCCCCCCCCCACACACACACACATGTATGGAAAGATAGTAAAATTGCCAAAGCTGTTTGGTGACTTATCATACTGGATGCTGCTGGAACAACATTTTCGAATTTATGAATGTATCCGAAATGGAGGACTGGATAAATCGGAACTTTCATACTAGATCTTCGAGAAGACTAAACTTAATCCGGATCAAGCTAATCCATATGCCAGCTCTAGAAGAGGTCTTAAGTATGCTTTTGATGGTGTTGCTAGGTTTAGGCAAGATGTAGCCATGTAGGTAGGAAATAACAATTAATTCTATATTGTAGTCATTTGGTGTGCCCTTAACTTTGTACCGTGGTTTATGCTTTGGAGTGAATTGATTTCCCAAAAGGGAAAGACAATAAGGGTTCGTTTGGTACACGGAATTGACGGAATAAGAATTGGATTGGAAATTGAAATTCTATGGAATTGATTTGGATGGAATTGAATTTTCCAATTCCAATTTATTTTTGGCAATTCCAAATTCACATATTTTTGTGCTACCAAACAGCAGAGTTGGAATTGTTGTCCCCAATTCCAATTCCATAGTTTGAATTTCGTGTACCAAACGGAGCCTAAATGTAATATAACAGAATTAATGTACCTAGAGAAAGATATACATCCATGTATATGACTATGTGAGTAAAGATATGCCTTATAGCGTATTAGCGTGGTAGGGCTACACTAGGGTTATGATCTGGGGGTTCCTTTTTTTCAATAACAAGGTGATTGAAAGTACTAACTAAATTTGAGTTCCATTGTTCTTTAGTACTAATTAAATTTGAGTTCCGTTTTACCGCTTTTACCTAGCCTTTCACATGATTAAAAAAACTTAAATAAAAACTGTGATTCTTTGTCACTCAGTCTCATACAAATTGAATGGGAGAATAGAGCACGATCTTTTACTCTTTTCTAATCAAACTTTTGAGTATTTGGAAAATAAATGTTGCATTATCTAACAAGTTGGAAAAGGAGTAATTTTTGCTCAAGATTATTGTATTAGGTTTGAATCTATGGCAGTGACTTTATTTACTCTCGGCAGGAGGTGGAGGGCCAATTATGGGTGATTTATGGGCGTTGAAGGGCCTAATTGAAGGAGGTAAACACATTTGTACACGTATCCTTGCTTAGTTTAGCCTATTGTGAGTCACTTTAATTTCCTATAATGACATACAAGGAACACCTTCATTTTTATAATTGGCCAGCCTAGTTAGGTCGCACACTAGATGCTGAAAGCAATGTTTAGTACCCAGTACCCACCTTCTGCACCCTGTAAAAGCAGTATATGCAATGAAAGGGTCCCAACTTCCCAAATAATGCCTTTTTCATTCTATTCTCTCATGGACCCTAAAATTCTCATCATCAGTAATCACCGCCTTACTCCCAACTATATTGGGGTTGATGACATGAAATTTATATTGTCAATTAATTGTCTAATATTAGGTAAAACTATAAGTTCATGAAAAAAAGTTACAAAGTTTTACACTGGATGGCCTTCTTTGTCACAGCCCTCTAATGAAGGAATAATGAGATGACATCCAAATATTTTCTATCATCTTAGGTTTTCTCCACTCCCCTTAAAATTTCCCTACGTGCACATTTGCTTTCTGTTCTGATGATTGATGTTTGTTTTGTATATGCTCATGTGTTGATGGAAGATAGTGAAACACCTGGATGGACCCAATTGAAACTTCCAGGGCAAGCTCCAACACCTCGCTGTGGCCATACTGTTACATCTGGAGGGCACAATGTAATTAGATTTTAATTCACCCTAATTTCATTCCATGATCCAATACAGTCTTAAGTCTTAGCAAATTTGGCTGAACGATCTGTGCGTTAAGAACAATAACATTTAGCTGATAAATTGCTTTTTGGTGATTTTGTGAATTGTGTATTAGTTTTTAAATAGAAAAAAACACTTATCAACAGGCACGTGCTTGAGCATAAAAACAGGCACGTATCTGGGGTAGACATCTTGTAGTACATCACTACATGTCTAAATCCACACTGATTCCAAAAACTTTCTGAATTTGAGTATGGATTCTCATTTTAAGTTAAAATATGTTCTCTTTAATCGTTACTTTGTGGTTAGTGCATTCCCTACCCTCTAAATTTTATTGCTCTATGTTCTGTGATACTTTGGAGTCTAAATTTTAATTCTGTACTTCCATTTGTGCTTTTCAGTTATTAGTGATGCTCAAACTTGTTCTCTTTCTAATAATATTTTGAAATATTTTCTTCATGCAGCTTTTGTTATTTGGAGGGCATGGAACTGGTGGGTGGTTGAGTCGTTATGACATTTATTACAATGATTGTATTGTTCTGGACAGAGGTAAGTATCACTATTAGCCCTTCAAATACTACCTTATAGTATTCAAATACTTAAGGTGCCCCCGACCTGCCAGAATCATTTTTGGCAAATTATTCGAATGTTTAAGGGTCAAAGAACCTCTAGAAATGTTTCTGCAAATTTATTATTCAAATACTCAATGTAGTAGTCCAATACTCCAATACTGGCATCGACGGCATCGTCTCATTTAAAGTTGCTGGAAGTTACACTCCGAATACTAATTTTTAGTATATACTCTGTTTTTTTCATGTACCTTTTGGAAGCCGTTTAAAAAACTAACAAATTTCCTTAAGGCAACACTAACCAAAATTAAAATTTCCGAGCTAGCAACTCAACCCCAGCCATGGGCTCTGCCCCTTGGACCCCGCCACCTTGGGCTGCCCCCACACCCCCTGCTCCTTGGTTTTGAAGTCATAACATTATTGAATGAGTGTGTACCTCACACCTCCTAACTCGTACCTTAAGTAAATCCAATTGCGCCAAATTGTCCGAAGACACTAAAATCACCAACAACTTACGCTCTCGACAAAACTTGGAAATTTTCATGATGTGCTACTCATATATGTGAATGCTATCATTGGTCCGTTCATAGGGGATTAACCGATTAGACCTTTGATTGCAAACCAGCTACACAGATGACATGATGCGAGGGAAAGTGGTTAAAGTTGTAAGGTGAGAGTATCAAATCCATGAGGAACATTATTTAAAGTGGTTGCAAGTATATGCCAAGTTAACCTGCTCAACAAAAGTTGTGCTCTGTGGTCCTAAGGTCGACATGAGAAATTTAGATCTTCTCACACTTTTCATGGGTTTACAAGTAGATCTTTTCCATTTTGTAAAAGCCAAATTTTTTCATGTTGTTTATGTGCTAAAGTCTACAAAATGATTGTGGACATATGGACCACATAAGAATTTCCCCCTCAGCAAATGGTTGCAGTGGTGTGTACTTGGAGTCGATGGGTCAGCCTAAATCAACAGAGCTGACAGAGGCATTTTGTCTAGTAAATGCATTTTCTTCATTCGGATCTGGGTTTAAATGACAAAAGGGACTGCACTGGGTCATAAACAAGCAACTGGTGTAGTGAATAGCTCAACCCCAATAGTAGTAGTCTTCCAAGGGCCGTAAAAAGTGGCAACACCCTTGGCTTGAAAAGTGACTTATAATCACAAGAATATGACATAAAGGAGCGAAATGGATCAATACTACAATAGGGGTTTTCTCACACTTATGATCTATAATTCACAAATGAATTACTCTTATTGTTGTCTATGTATGAATGGATGTAACTCAAAAGTAGAGGTGGCAATCGGATCAACCGGATCGGTTCCGGATTGAACTTTTTCGGTTCGGATATCTTTCGGTTATATGTTATAATCGGTTCGGTTCGGTTCGGATCGGTTAAATTTCGGTTCGGATTTGATTTCGGTTCTATACATTTTTCGGTTCGGTTCGGTTCAGTTTCGAGTCGGTTCAGATACGGTTCGGTTATAAATCGGTTCGGATAGATTTTGATTCAGATACAATTTGAGTCGGATATATTTCAGTTTCGGGTCTAGTCCGGTTCGGATATATTTCGGTTTCGGATATATTCGCTCGAGTGGACTACAAATTATGAAAAAATATATTTTATGATGATATAAATTTAATATCATAATATTAATTTTAAAATTTAGTTTTGATATATTAAAATTATATCACTTCAAATAATATTATGAGTAATTTACCTAAATAGGGCTAAAACACAATGACTTTCTCAATATAGGACCATATGTTTTTATTTTCCAATGTAGGACTTTTGGTCATTATTAATTAGTCATTATTCAAGTAAATGTCCATTATTAATTTATTACTGGGCATTATTCCTCCCACTAAGACATTATTAAGTTCTCTCTAAGGAATAAAAAAGTTTAAGTTCTAGATTAAGAAAGTAATTATGTTTTAGTATTATTTAGTGCAAATTTATTAATATCATTAGTTTTATCTTTATAAATAAAAAGATAAAAGATAAATTCAAATCGTATTAGGATTGTGTTACCACTTTTTGGATCATGACTATTGAATACTATATTTTTTAATTATCACTAGATGACTACTTTTTGGTGTTTAGCAAGATTATCATCTCTATTTTATTACTGGTTTGCTTTATTTTATCGCATGTATGCTTAGATTTGGAAAAAGTAATTTTCATGTGTTTTATGTCATCTCTATTTTATTGCTCATTTGCTCTATTTTTTGTAATATTTCTAAAACATGTAATCCATTTTATAAGGGAATGAGCAAGTAATATAATTAGTTCAAATGGTAAAATAAAAGTAAAATTGTAAAAGCATAATATGCTTATTGAAAGGAAAACATACTTCCAAAATTATCTATGTAGGTTCTAATCGGTTTCGGATCTAATCGGTTTCAGGTTTTATCGGTTTCGGGTTTTATCGGTTTTGGATCTAATCGGTTTCGGATTTAATCGGTTCGGATATTATCGGTTTCGGATCTAATCGGTTTCGGATTTAAATCGGATATGAATTATTTAGTTCGGTTTCGGTTTGATTCGGATCATTTCGGGTTTTCGGTTATAGATCGGATCTTCATTTTTCGGGTCATTTCGGTTTCGGTTTTGGATATTTCGGTTCGGGTAATCGGTTCCGGTTCTGTTTTGCCAGCTCTACTCAAAAGTTTCGTTATCAAGGTTTTAGGTTATGTCTTGGAGCTGTTATGAACCACTTCTTGAAATAACTTTTTATGCGAATGCAGTGTCTGTACAATGGAGACGCCTATCGACGAACAACGATCCCCCTGATGCTCGAGCTTACCATTCAATGACATCCATTGGATCCCGGTTTTTATTATTTGGTGGTTTTGATGGGAAATCAACTTTCGGTGATTTGTGGTGGTTAGTTCCAGAAGGTACTCATCATTTTTCTAGTGGCTTGATTGTCTGTTAGATAATACATGCTGCTTCCTTCTTTTCTATAGTCAACAATGAATTAATTTCTCTCCACGGTATTATATAAACCCTATACTTGATAATGCACTCTCTTTATTACTATCAGTGTTAATGATATGTAATGCTTTAAAGTATTCAAAAGTTAACTGCTTCTCTCATTGTATCTTCTAGAAACTTCTTAGAGTTGTCTTAGCTCTTCTCTCAACCTCCTTGTAGTTAAAACTATACAACCAAAAATGCTGTGGTTGAGATTTATGTAGAGGAGACAATACACTATGAACCACAATACCACAAAATACTCTCTGTAAATGGAACCATGCACAATACATTGGGACAGATCAAAAAGGAAAACACGCACAACAAATTGGGTCGGAAGGAGTTGCTTTACACTAAACCATATGAATTACACCAGTAGTTACGTTTATTATACATGCTCGTCAACCTAACCATTTACAGGGTTGAGTTTAGAGTATAAGTATGCTCACTGATTATCTTGCTGCAGAATTGTGTTTTCTTCTGAAACTGTATTTCATCCCCAATTCACTAGTCACTTTGTTCTGTAAATTTTATATATATATATATATATATATATATATATATAATGTATGTATTTATATATATGTATGTATGTATATATATATATATAATGTATGTATATATGTATGTATGTATGTGTGTGTGTGTGTGTATATATATATATATATAGGTGGAATGGACCACACAAGTGTACAAGAATTTTTTTTTGTTGTAAAATAAATTTGAGACTTGAAAAGATGCCCATTATAACATCAATAGATGCCCAGTCAAGTGCTTAGGCACACCTTGATAAGAACTTAAGAAGTAGCTAAACTTTGTGGATGTACCACAAATGGTGTCTGAAGAGCTATGGATTGTATTGGAAATTAATGACACAATACTTTTACAGTTTCACCCCACTCATAGCTTTCTGATTATTTTCATTTTTCCACTTCTCTTGGGCCTATCTGGAACTCAGAGAATGCTAAGGCAAGAAAGTAGGACCTAAAATGTAGGGGATATTTTGAAAGAGAAAATATTGGGAAAGTAAAACTTTGGTTCATATCCAAACAATCTGAAACATAATCATATTTCATTTTCTTTGCATTTTCTGTGGTAAAACTAGACACGAGAAATTAAACTCTTCGTAGCAATTTTTTCCTTTCCCCAGCATTTTTTGAGATCCAAACATACCCTTCAAGAATTGATGTGTACTTGTCTACCCTGGAATTAAGCTTCTCTACATGTTTATCCCTTTGTTGTAGAGGATCCAATTGCAAAGCAGGTAACTTCTCCTTCTAGGCATGACACCGAAAACGAATTTGTTTCCGTGTCGCGAAGTCAATTCCCTTCAGAAGACAACAAGGTATTGAAGATTTTGCCTCAGTTATTTTGTCTTCGTAATTGTCTTGTTCTCAGAATCAACTCAATCAAGCCATATGTCCTCCTATAGCCATTATTTAGTGTAAACAAATACTCCTTCCGTCCAGATTTAGTTGGCCACTTCCTAAAAAATATTATTCTTAAGGAATGAGTTAAAATGCCAAATAAAATAGTGGACAACTAAATCCGGACGGAGGAGTAATGCATTGTTGAAAATAAGCAAGCATTTTCTTTTCTGCATGAGAGTATCGTATCTTATGTGTGATGTTACTTGAACCTATCTTCACTCAGAATGTTATGATTTCTTGGAGGAGATAATAACTTTATAGAAGGATAGGTGCCGTTTTGTGTCCTTCAAAGATCTATGTAAACGGGAGGGCTTTTAATACTAATTTTTTTTTGTTTTTCTATGTACTCTGCAGGAAAGCCGCAGGGGAGAATCTTCTGTCCTAGAATTGCAGAAAAGGCTACAACTTTCTGTTTCACTTTCAAATCCAAAGAGAATGGTCGATGTGGCGGAGGACAGGGAATTTATTGAACTAGCATCTCAGATGGTTGGAGGGGCTCTAGACGGCAAACAGGTTCACCATCTTGGTTTAATGGCCATGAGTTTCTAAATATTCTCAGTAAATGGCATATATGTGTACAGACTTGTACACAACACATTCACTTGACTCTATTTTCAGTATTAGTATCTTTCTGGTTGAAGGCTACACAAGTACTTCGCGAGCACTGGAGGAATGCTTTGCCAAAATCAATTCAATTGAAGGAACTTGGCCCATTACTAAGAGATTATGAGCGGCTGGTTGCCTTAAGTCAAAAGTAAGAGAAAACGTCTCCTACTGGGTTGTCGTTTATATAAACCACACCATCCAAAGCATTTCTCTCCAAACCCCTCCATCCAAACAGACCCTAGCTAAACAGCTTTGTCTTGATTTCAAAATCGTGTTTCTAGCCAAAAAAATGATAACACTTTGCTGAGCTCTACTGATTCGTAGAGCCCACTTTCTGTCTTTCGTTGTGCAGACAAAATGTTGAATCTTTTTTACAGTCGCTGGATCCCGGCCTTCTCAGAAAGGAGATCTATCAATTTTATCACATCAGAGACGTTCATCAGGTAAGTGTTTTTTTATGGCTTCTTATTCCTCGTGCAATCAAAATGGCATTGTGTTATATCAACTTGTACTTCCAGCCTTAAATCAAATAGAACTCGCCTTTAGTGACATAATGAGTTTTAGATATATGAGGGTCCGTTTGGTACATGGAATGACGAAATTAGAATTGAAATTCTATGAGATTGAATTGGATGAAATTGAATTCTCTAGTTCTAATTCATTTTTTGCATTACCAATTCCAAATCCACATATTTTTTTTGCTACCAAACAGCAGAATTGGAATTGAAGTCCCGAATTCCAATTCCATGGCATGAACTCCGTGTACCAAACGGAGCCTGAGTGTCTTGTCATTTTTCAACTCGCTCCTCGTCGTTTTATTCTTGTATATCTATATGATGTTTTCTGGATGAATTTCAGTTGCGGATGGATGATATTCCACACTTGCTTGAAGAATACAGACAACTACCCAATGTGGGAGTAAATTAATACTACAATGTATGTATATGATGAATTCGTTCCTGGTGCATGAGTGCATCAACTCTACACTCAACAAAAGTAATGTAAAAGTTTGTATTGAAATACTCCGTAATAAATAATAAAAAAAATAGTAAAGGATACTTGTAGCTATTGTACATCTACCCTTTGGCTTGGTTTTTTTTAACATCTAGTTTTCTAAATAGAAAACCTTTAATTTACGATACTGTTATTATACACCAAGTTTTTTTGTTGGTTTGTTTTAAATGGTTTGTGTAATGTGAGATGGTTTGAGGGTTCCTAACCTCCACCCGCCCCCACGGCAAACCCCTTCCCCTGTCCCGACTTGATCCCACCCCCAACCTCTTTGATTATACCCTCCAAGTTTATTTGACTTTAGAGTCAAAACCATCCAAGTTTATTAGACTTTGGAGTCAAAGGAGAACCCTTGGCTATATAAACTCATCACCAAGTCTCCCATTTAACCAGTGTGGGACAATGAAATCAATCCGTATCATTCGACCCCCCATAAGGCCCAACGTCCTCGTTGGTCACGGCTGGTTTCACTAGGCCACCACTCTGAGTTGGCTTCGATACCATTGATACAGCATAAGGAAGAATCACACCCTAAAAGCTATTCCCTCTGTCTCACAAAAAACTTCCCATTTTGACCATAAATTGGTCAAACAGTTACACGCTTTGATCATAAATTAAATATAATCTAAATAATGAAATGCGAAAAAAATTTGGGATATCAAAACAAGATTCTAAGATGAATCCAATTATATTAAATTTATTTCATAATTCAATATACCTTTCTCATAATTTGTAGTCAAAGCGTGTAAATATTTGACTAAATATTATTCAAAATGGAAACTTTTTTGTGGGACGAAGGAAGTAGTTGTTAAGATGGGAGAACCCTTGATTATATAAATCCATCACCAAGTCTCCAATTTAACCGGTGTGAGACAATAAAATCAGTCCGTATCACAATGTCTTGGGAGCCACTCCAAATAATAAAATGTTGAGCAATGCTACGTTCACAAACATCACAAACTTACTATTTATGATTTAAATTTTCATTTTAAAATTAGTTTAGATTATTTAATTTAATTTATTGAAATTCACAAATAGTAAGTTTGTGAAGTTTGTGACAATTTTGTTTGTGAACCAAGCATTTTTCTAAAATGTTCTTTTAGTAAAAATTTGTCATTCATTGGTGAGAAGTGAGAACGATAATAATATGCGGTTTAGATCATACTCCGTAGTTTCCAATACTAAATTTACTAAAAACGGAGTGTGTTGAATAAGTAAAAAATTAATTTCGATGGAGGGCTTCATAAAGGAAAACTGGATAAATTTAATGTGATCGGATGGGGTATTTGCAATACTACTATAATTGACCATTTATACTTTATAAATTAATCTATAATTTTCTTTTTAAGACATCCCAAATAATAATAATAATAATAATAATAATTAAAACTTACGTTATTTCCTATTTTGGTGATGATACTCCCTCTATTTCAAATTAAGTGTCCAAATTCAATTGACTTTACAAAAAAAATGAAAAGTAAACAATTAAAGGTCAAAATTTGATAAGAGGAAACTGAATATTGTTCATTACTTATTCTTGACTTTATTAGGAAGTAAAGAAGTTAGAAAATTACTTTGGGTGGACTAAAAAGAAAATTGACCCGATTATTTCGGGACGGAGAAAATGTGTGGCTAAAAGTATTTTTACCTAACTTACCCAGAAAATCAATTCTAAAGTTTTTAAAATCATTATGATGTTTGATTGAAATTATTTTTAAATCATTTTATATGAAAAATGGTATGGAATTAAAAAACAAAAATTCCATACTTAAAATTACATCAAAAGATCTATAAAACTAAATGTGGTAAGATTATATTATTCTATCAAATGGGTAACAAAAACACGACAATAAAGTTAAAAAAGTTTGACTCCATAAATATTGAACGGAAAAATAATTTATCAAAAGGGAGTATCAAAAAAGAAACCTTTTGTACAAGGCCCGCCGCTGGTAAAATGGGGAGTCCAACTAATGAGTGTTAAGTGATATACATTTTATATAAAAAAGCATGTCGCATCTACGAACAGGCCCATTAGCTCAGTTGGTTAGAGCGTCGTGCTAATAACGCGAAGGTCGCAGGTTCGAAACCTGCATGGGCCATTTAGATTATTTTATTTACTCAAACAAATTACTTATATTGCGCCCTACGTACCATACATATATCAAGATGAACAAATTTATTAATATACTTTTTTCTAGAATTAATATACTATTGTTATATTTGATTAATAAAATTAAGTTAAATTGTACGCAGTAATTATTATTATTATTATTATTTTGAAATAAATATTATTATTATTATTATTTTGGGGAAAACGCATTTTTGGTGCTAGGGATTTGAATAAAGAGTGTTCAACTATTTCATTTTTTGACACAGATAATCTAAAAGCAATAACTCGAATATTGCTTGTTCTGCAGTTGTTGATCTCTCTTCCCATGAAATAAAATCTGCTATTTTAAGGAGGAAAATCATCAAATGTTGAAATAAAGCCTTTTTTTCTTTTACGGTAGCGCGGGGTAATTATACTAATTATTACTCGTATAATAATTACTCGTAGTATTCTTCTCACATCACATTTTTTTTACTGCATGCATGACAAATGAGAATCTCATTTTCTTTATCTCTCATCATTTCCATTTTTAGGTAGCATGATATTTTTCACGTTGCATCCAACTAAGAGTTAAACTACAATGATGATACCCACCTCAAGAAGCCCATTTTAGAATGTAATTTATCTATCGGTGGGCGTTGCACAGTTGGCAAGACAAGAGGTGTCAAGGAGGTAAAACTCGAGCCAGGTTCCTGTCAACTGCGCTAGAAGACAACTATACTAAGCATGAGATCTCTGCAAGTACCAGGTGTAGACTCCAATCTTTGCCACCAATCTGCGATTAAAGTCCAATTTACCTCCTCTCAGTGACCGTCCGGTTGGGTCATCTGAGGAGACCCTCGGAAATGAGGCTCACCCTTTTTAGAATGTAATTTATCTTAGATCAGACTAGTCCATCCTTTCTAAAATTATCGTCATAGTTTGACTTTTTTTTTTGATATATTTCATTATAAATTAAATATAACTATAAGTTAATAAATAAAACAAGAACTAAGTTTGATAATTCATAATTATATCTAAAAATGACCCTAATTATATTAAGTTTACAATTTAATCCGATTAATTAGATTTAAATTAATTTTAGAGTCAGAGTTACCAACTAAAAAATCAAACTAGAACAGTAATGTTGGTTCAGCAGGAGTAAAACATACTCCCTCCGTCCTAAAATTAACTTCCCATTTGACTTTTCACGGTCTCCAATGCGACACTTTGATCACCAATATCTCAATTTTTATATAAATAAATTTTATAAAAATTATATATTTCAAAACTATGTTTCAAAATGAATATAATGCTAATAAATTTATATGAAAATTCAATGAATTTTTTCCGTAATGTACGGTCAAAACTTAAAAAGTTTGACTACAAAAGTCAAACTGGGAAGTTAATTTTAGGACAGAGGGAGTATATCTTTTCTATCCCATAAAATTTTCATTTTCCACTTTGGAAAAAGGTGAGATTTAAGAAACAAGTAAGTTTTCTGTTACTTTCTAATTTTACCCTACTTTTATGTATGATAGAATATGATATACTAAGTGGATTAATAATAGTGAATATATCTGATGTAATATGTAGGTTAGTTAAGTGCAACAGGGGCTGCGGTTGAGAACTGGCTGCAAGCTACTAGCTATATGGGAGGAGGAGGAGGAAGAAGAAGCTAAGTGTGGTGTGCTGGTGAAAGAAGAAAGAGATAGATTAGGAAATCGGGAAAATAGAGCGCCGTAAATTAAAAGAAGTAAATTAATAATAGACACATACACGGACTCACTCAATCTATTTAGGCATTCTATGATTCTTTGTTTGATTATAAAGTAATTCATATCCCGCCTAACTCTCTTCACTCAGTTTAAATGAAAATTAATTCACTCCCAAGATTGTGAGTGTGGATTACCACCGGGAGGGGGGGTTACGGGAGTGGGATTTGGAAACAATCAAGGTCGAATGAAGCACCGTAAGATCTCCAAATAGACATGTGTTATATAATGTGATACACTGGTAGCTAATGTTTGTTGGCCTTTGTGCATTAATTTTCTCATGACGAAGGCTATGTAACTCAAGTCACACTCGAATGATGTGGACGCTTCTGCGTGTTGAATGGTCTATAAGACTAGGGCATGCGCATCTTGTAACACCAATTGATTTTATAAGAGTTGACATCGCCTTAAGTGTTTAGAACAAGGCAATGATGTGTAACATAATTTAAAACTCTAATGCCAATTATAAACTTTGGTTCAAAACAAACTCCTCTTAGAGTGCATCTCACATCGGAAGTTCAAGAGTAAAAATAATCGGTATATAAGCTGCTGAGTTAAACTAACTAATTGATTGGATTCAATCTTTTAATGTGGTTCTGCCCAATTGTCTTATTGTCCAATCCAGTTGTCCATATACCATCCTAAATTCTATCACTATGCTAGATAACTTTTCAAATGCTAAAGTTTAACGTTAAAGTTAGTATCACTCAAAAAAATAGTGAGATTAACGGACAGAGATTACAATAATTATTCGTGGGGTATAAAATGCATGTCTAATGTCTTCCTTTATCTCTCTTAATTAGACAACCCAAAAAATACCCATCTTTATTTAATTTATATAGACCTATATATATAATTCATTTAATTAGAAGAGAACCATCCCATAGGAAAACACCACAAAACACACACTATATATATGAACTTTATTTAACTCTCGTTCTCTATCTTTTTTTTTACTATTAGTAAACCCATCCACTTATATGCCGGGTGTCCTCATGAGAGGGGAAATGGACCTCCATATCCTTAATCAAGAGCTTAATGCTCAAATTGATGCTTTGGTGCAACAAGTAATTAATTTATTTATTAAAATTAATTATTGATCTTCAATCCAAGTTTTATTTAATTTCCTCTGATAATCTTTCATCAAGTATTAATAATTCTCTTCATTCCTATTCGTTTGTTCAAGTTAATT